AAGGAGTGAATTGATGAAATTATCCCCCTGTGTCTGAGTTCGAAGATTAAGCCCCCAAGAATGTTTCAAAAGGGTAGTGAAGCCTCAGGAAACTCTTTGGTTACCTTCACCAACGAAAATAACAACAACTTACAGATAAATTTTCTAGCTTGGCATGAGAGGCTTGTGGCATGGGAGCAAAATTGTCATGAGTTTAGCACTTAAAGAGAGAGAGCTGCAAGTTCCTATGAGAGACAGGGGTTCTAAGGGAAAGAGGAAGTGTGAGATCCCACATCGACCAACGGAGAGTGGGTGATGTGCCTTATATGTACACACCCGCATCCATATAGCACGAGGCTTTTTGGGAGCTCACTGGCTTTGGAGTTGTAGGAACTCCGAAGTTAAGCGAGTTGGGGGCGAGAGCAATCCCAGGATGGGTGACCCACTGGGAATTTGGTCGTGAGCTCCCAGAAACAAAACCGTGAGAGCCAGAGAGGGGGGGCCCAAAGCGGACAATATCGTGCTACGGCGGAGCCGATCCGGGATGTGACAGGATGAGATTATAAGAAGGTTTGATGAAGAGGGAGAAAGATGGGGAAGAATGACGGGTGGCTTAAGAAATTTCCGGCAGCTTGACAGAGGCTCTGTCAAATGCTATAACAATCTGCCAAAAAGGGGAAAATGAGGGAGAATGGTGAGTAGAGCACGAATTTGCTGGGTTTTGCAGGTGAGAGATGAAGCTTGCTCTCCAGATGTGGATGATGCTTGCTGGGTTGAAGATGCCTCATTTTATAGCCGCTGGAAGCTGTCCTTTCCCAAGAAACCCTAACGGTTTCTATCCAATTTTGGCCAAGCTTTTTCCTTCCTTTCTCCTCCTATCTTAATATGGCAAAATCTTCTCTGCCCAATCCCACAAAATCAGGGATTCTTGGGAGCTCAATGCTCTTCCGCGGCTGCCACAGTGGAGAACTTCTTATTTCCAGCCATTTCCTTCCCTCATTTTCTTCCTTCTTCCATGGCCAGATCTGATAAGGGGAAGAAAATGGGTATGCATGCTGGTTCAAAGGGTGATTCCTCTCCTAGCAGTCAGCGCGCCAACATCCCTTGGTCCTTTGGATGTTTTTGCTTGAAACTTGTTTCTTCCCATGGGCTGGAGCCTCCCAGCCGCTCTGTGCACGTGGTCCTCTAAGCTCCCTTCGCAGCTTTGTCCTTCAGCCAAGTGCTGGGGCTTTTGCCACTTCTTATTCTAATTGTATGGGCCTCTCAAGACAACAACATGATTTATTAAATAAACGGGCTATCCTTATCAAGTGTTGGGCCATCTTGATTGAGGCAATGGGCTATTCTTGGTTGGGGCTATTGTGGGCTATTCTTGGTTGGGGCTATTGTGGGCTATTCTTGGTTGGGCTATTGTGGTTGAAGTAATGGGCTTTTTTCTCCCTTGTGCTTACCCACGTTTGGGCCTAAGAAATGGGCTTGAGTGCCGAGGCTCCCAAGCAACCCGGGACTTCCATTTCTTGGCCCACCAATGGGCCTCATGACAACTTATCACCATCCATACCACAACCCACTCAAGCAAGCCCCGGGCATTTGAGTGGCTTGGGCCCACTTGGGCTTGTAGCGTGGTTGGGCGTGAAATAATAATTTCCCACTTGGCATGGCATGCTTTAATTTTATCGTCCTTGAAGAGGGACACGATGCTTATTTAGCGTGGACTTGTAAAGCCGGTGTATTTTATTACATTATCTTAGCATGACAAATTCTTTACTTGGCATGGCACGTGGACTGTGGCTTGCGTGTGACGGGCTCTCGTGTGTTCCAACCCGTGCCTTTTCCTAATAAAGCGCTGCATTGGGCCGGGAATTTATTTGGGCCCAACTATGGATTTTTTGGGCCTCAACAGTTGCCAACAAGGAAATATTAAACTTTAAAGTCCAAAACCAACACCCCGTTTTTTAGAAAATTTGCTTGATCCTAATAAAAAGTGTATTATTCAGAGAAATATCAGGGTTTACAATTCTATGTTTGCATTTACTTCAATGGGAACCAAAATTGATAAATCAATTAACAATGGATCAAGCCCTTATATTTTCAAAATCAGTGGTCAAGTTCATCATACAAGGATTTGATCCATTGTTAATTGATTTATTAGTTTTGGCTCCGATTGAAATGGTATTGTACAAGCCATGAATCTAAACGAAGAAGAATTCCTATGAGAGCTTTTATAGCTTATCATACAAGAAAGAATTTTTCAATTAGATACACTATTAAAAGGTGGAAGATTGTTCCAACAATTTTTAGTAGACGCTTATGCAACACTTGAAGAGGATCGAATAGATTATATTAGGAAGAAGAAAAATAAAATTTAAGAAGTGAGGTTTATAAAGGCATTTATGATGCAATTTCAAAGGGTGACAATGATGCTAATAACATAGGTCAAAGAGTGATATTGCCCAGCTCATATACTGGAAGTGCTAGATACATGCTTAACAATTATCAAGATGCTATGACAATTTGTAGACAATATGGAAATCCTGATTTATTTATAACTTTCACCTACAATGTCAAATGGCCAAAAATTGTAAGAGAGTTTAATACAAAACCTGGATACAAACCAATAGATCGGCCTGATAATTATTTAAAATAAAACTTGATGATATGATTGATCGGTGCATATTTACAGAACCTTTTGGAGAAATTGAAGCAGGTAAACACTACCAAAAAAAAAAAAAATTTTTTGCGAAGGTAAAACGATGTCGG